AAGAAGCTCCGTTACACGCGCGCGCGTGCACACACACGCACCACGCACACGCAGTGGCGTAGCCAGCAATTGGAAACAGGGGGGCCAAGGCGAGGGAGCGAGCGACCGAGGGTAGGGTGTGGGAGGGTATCCCCCCTCCCACGGTAGGAGATTTTAAAAATTCGTGCATGAAAATGGCATTTTCTGCACACTAAAATTCAGTATTAGGGGTAACTTATATGAGAAGTGGCATATGCTAATCCCTTATAACCCCCCTCCTCGCTTTTTATTTTTACATCCGATCGCGATCAACGTGGGACGATGCCCCTGGGTGTGGCGCCGGAAGGCTCTGAGGTTACACACGACCAGTTGGTGGACCCTTAGCTAGACCAAGTGAAATAGGTGTACGAAGCCAGTGTTTTTCAGGGAGGGAAGAAAAGAGTTAAGCGACCAAAGACAGCGATGAAGCAATTTCTCTCACGGGGGAGGGTGTTTCCCCTCACAGTAGGGTAATTTTTGAAAATATGTGCATCAAAAATGGCATTTTTGCGCATTTCATTTTCATTATTAGGTGTAGGTAATAGTGGTATAGACCAATCCCATTCAGGGCCCTTCCTCTTAATTTTTGTAACTCTCCGATCAAGAGGGGTCATGCTCCGTTTCGGTCATCACATATTGGAATTCTCTTCCTTCTTTTTTGGGCAAAATTGAAGCTTTTTCTACTGCGATCCGCGATGGTTGATCAACTTTGTCCTTTCCGTTTTCGATATTATAGTCCCTTGAGCTTTGAAGTCAAATCTTTATTAGGTTATTATATATATATATATATATATATATATATATATATATTATATAACTATATAACATGTGTAATCATGTGATCATATGTTTCTGCATAAATGTAATATAAAAACACATTATATCTATGACCATAGATGACAGAGCACGTGCTCTGTCTATGGTGGATTTTTGACTGGGTACGTGACCCGGAAGTACATCGCAAACAGGGCAAAACGAACGAACATGGCGACGGACGTAGATACGGTGTATAGTTTTCCGTTGAACATAATCCCACCTAATGAAATTGCTAGTAGCAAAAACGTATCAAATAAAAGTGTTACCAATGGTACATCAGAGAATATTGGATCTCACCACGAACACTTTGTTGTTGAGATAGAATCTTCAGAAGACGCACTCGAATCAATAGGACCGCTATTTCGGTGTGTTATTGTTATTGTTAAAAATTAAAATTAGTTGATTATATATCGTGTGTTGATTATATATATGTGTTGACAAATATATCGTGATACGTAGTATACAGATAATTGGTATGCCAATTGTCACGATACGTACTATTATGTTACTGGTCCAATCCTAGTTTAGCAACCCCTTGTTGAACACGGATTAATTGAGCACGTTTAATTTGCGGGGTCCCAAACGGTGTCTGGTCCAATCACTGAATCAGCCCTAGATCTAGAACTATAAGTATAACCCATGCTACGCTCATAGGGTCTCTGTCCCCCAGGGTACTGCCGGAACGTACCCTGGGTACGGTTCGGTATACCGGAACGTACCCTGGTGGTACCACTGGCGCCCACAGGTCTTATGAAAGTAGAAGCACAGAAGGATAAAATCCTCAGTGATAATAAAAAGCAAGCGCCGTAGGCGCGCTGCATGCTAGGGGGGTCTGGGGGCATGCCCCTCCCCCCCTGAAAATTTTTGAATGGTAGACGTCTGGAGAGGCAATCTGGTGAGTCTTGCGAGAGAGATTTAGGAACAAAATGTAGGAACAAAATTGTTTAACCCAAAATTTACTAGAAGCACTGTGCTTCCAGTGCTTCTATCTGCGGGTGCCACTGCCTGGTACTATCTAATATGGTTAGGGTTAGGGAGTAGACGTAGGCGACTCCCTAGACTCGTTAGTGGAGTAGGCGAGGTACGGTCCGGCATATTAGATAGTACCAGGGTACGTTCCAGCAGTACCCTGAGGGACATAGACCCTCTCAGCCATACTAGCAGAGCCGACCCATTACGAAGTCATAGTACATTATTCTCTAGACCCATAACAATTAACAGACTGGGCCGATACCAATCGTCCCATAAAAAATACGTGTCACTATATCCTGTGCTGTGGACACCGACATGTACGAGAACATAACATAACATAACATGTTAAATCCAAACCCAGATATATTTAAATTATATTGTCAAATAGAGAGATGTGTTTTCCACTACCAGTAACAAGTTTGTGTGGGTTTTATCTGGTTTGTATGATGGTAATAATGACGACCCATGGTTAAATGATGTTGAAAAGATGTTTTCTACGGGCCGACTCTGGTTATGGGCAGAGACTGCAGAGGCTGGCCAGGGGGGCTACGCGTACACAGGTAGAGCTAGGGGTTCTGTACTAGTGTCTGGGGCCCAGCGGTTGAATTGAGTAAATAGCCGGATACTGTATATAGCATTCAAGTGGCACCGTTTAAAACAACCAGTGCAATTTGAGACACCCGACGAACTTAATTTGCTGCGAAAGTAGGCAGGGCTTTGAAGAGGAGGGACATTGTGGGCTTTTTTGAAGATATACAGATGATTTAAGATATGATTTCTGTACGGGGTCACCGCTACAGAACCCGTGTGTACCATACTTAGTGAGTTATTACTGTACTAGTAATTTTTATGTTTTTTTTTTATCAGAGCAATATATGATGGAGATGATCATGAGCTATTTATGCAAAGGCTTGATGAGCGAATCAAGAATCATGATAGGGATATTGAGAAAATGTGCAACTTTCACTATCAAGGTTTTATTGATTCGATACACGAGTTGTTACAACTACGGAGTGAGGCAGAACAAGTAAAGGTAGGTGGCACTGTATTTACTGTCAATCCTGTCTTAGCGGACACCTCTATAGAGCAGATGCCTCTATAGAGCAGACACCTCTATAGAGCAGATACCTCTATAGAGCAGATACCTCTATAGAGCAGACACCTCTATAGAGCAGATACCTCTATAGAGCAGACACCTCTATAGAGCAATACCTCTATAGAGCAGAAAAACTAGCGGGGTCCGCGGGGTGTGTTTTTTTTACCGTACCACTAATTAATGCGTAAATCGCCACCACACATAGACGGTATTTGGGGTTCTTGTATATATAATATAGCCAAGTCGGTGTACAGTTAGTGTGTGTGTGTGGGACAGATTAGCTGTTTGTACTTGTGTATTGTCTGCAGTGCATGCGTGGCACGGTAAAAATATACGAGCTGGTTGTCCTGCCGAATGGGAATTCTTGACGATCGATTCCCGCGCTGGCAAACTTTTATTGTGGTGGAATTTAATCGGGGCGGAGGTAATTTATAAACGGGCGCGGAAGATTGAAACAGGGGGGAGTTTTCCCAAACGGGCCCGCGCGCCCGTTTGCGGCAACGTAGGGAGAACCCTGGTGTAGATGAGCTGCCGATCACATGAAGATAAGCATGGCTTCATAATATCATTGTAGGGCAAGGTGCAGGCGCGTCATTTTAACCTTCAGCGAACGGGGTCGGCTTTGATTTCCCGAGCAGAGGCTGTGATGCAGTGCCAGCAAATACAAGATGAACATCTCGTCAACAATTGAGGCCTCTCAACTTGCCTACCAGGTGAAATCTGAAAACGTTACTGAATCAGTAGATGTGTTTACTCATAATTAGAGTTCTTAGTTGTGTGGATTAAAAGGAACTGACTAAAATTTCTATGTCACAGGTTTTGTAGGTTGTGTTCTATATATATATATATATACATATATAGTTTAAATGAGCTAAAACATGTATAATAACTCTTTGTATCACTGTGATTCGTGAAGATTATTTTGGGCATTATATATAAATTATATAGACGATACATGTAGTTTATTATAAATTGAATTTTTTTGCAGTCTTTCTAATGTATGGGAAGCTGAAAAAGCAAATGGACTGTAAAAGGTATCACAGCAGTTCTGTATTAATAAGGCTATCTAATACACAATCATTTACTCATCAATCTATAAACCTCATGTAAGCATTCCAATGTGTCCTCATCAAGTTCCATGCATTTTGAATTCTTATTATCTGTAATCGCAATCAAGTGAGATATGTTCGCGTTCACTGTTGATTTTTGGCGTTTGTATTGCCAGGTATTACCCAGCATTGAAAACCCTAGAGCAGCTGGAACATACGTATCTGCCTCGTGTCAGCGAATATAGGTTCACCAAAGTCATGTACGACCAAATCGTACGCCTACGCGATGGAATTAAGGAGGCTTCCATGTCAGATCTGAAGGACTTTTTGGAGAATATTAGAAAGTACTCCAGCAAGATTGGTGAAGTAGCAATGCAGCATGTGAGTTTATTGTCTTCTCAACCAACATAAGAAAAATACTACCTCTTTTACATACCCCCATTTAATCTGTATGTATAAATCTGCAGCCATCTAACAAATTTTGAAAATGGAATCTCATGTTACTCTACATATGTGCTTGGTTCGTAGTACTTCCCAACCATTCTCAAACATTCCCAGCGAATACTATACTTACTGGTATGGCTATAGCTGTAGCATAACAGCAAGTGTTTACGTTAGGGCTAAAATGTCTTAGAACACTTGTACATCCGTACTTTCAACAATACATGAAATGATTGAAATTTGATTTGTTGACTTCCTGTTGACATGGTTACATGACGATGCCACTCGTGATGTCTATCGTTCCTCGTTCCTGTGAATCCCTGTCCTTACACGTTGTTGGTGGTAATTTAATTAATAAAGTAATTAATAGAGATGCTGTACTAGTCTACAACCACTTATGTCACTCAATGAGATGCACTTTTGTCTAGTGGCACCAATTACAAGGCAATTGTTACAGCATCAAAGAATGTGGCTGCATCATTTGCTATTTTATATACCATAACAGCTCAAACTTGTGGTAATTTTCTACTGGAGTAATGGGTAATGTTCCATAATAGGTGAGACCTAATTTGTCTACATGTTTTATTTTTATTTATCAGAGGGATATTTTTATAAAGGATACCTTGAACTGAATAAGTTTGATGCGAGTAGGATGCTTTGTGTTATTTAAGGTGGCAGATCAGCATGGCTTAGATCCGACCTTCGTCAGTATGCCCGAGAAGAAGCGAAAAGCCCCACCACCCCCAAATCCATTCACTGGGGAAGCAGAGGCAACAGTTACTGATCAGGAAACTAACATCTACAAAGATGGGGATGAGGTGAGTAGGAGAGTAGTAAAGTGCATTTGTTTTAGCATCAATATAGGTTGTAGCACAAACTATAATAATAATAAAATATACAATTACTATATGGTAGCTAATAATATACTAAATAGAACTAATTAAACATAATATTATTTGATTAACTATCGAAAAAGGTCATATTTTGACAAATGAATGATTTGACCATACATGTTCAACATCCCCCCCCCCAAGTAGAATACATGCACACAATAGAATTTTCGCTAATGTAATTAGACAGTAATAAAGTCAGAGAAGTGGCATTTCCCTCTACAGCCAAACAATCTTTAGAACTTACCTGAACAAATTTGAACTGGAGTAAAACTATTTTATGTCTATTTATCTTGTTGTATAATCATTTTCAGGAGCTTAGTGCACAAGAGCTGGTGGACTTTTCTCCTGTTTATAGATGCTGGCATATTTATAATGTACTTGTAAGTGAAATTGTATTCATTATATTTTACTTGATTATCAAAGCAACTGTATTGGCGTGAATAAACATAATTGAGTTTTCTCTGAAATCATGTGACTTGATAGGGCTTATGCTCAGAAGTGCTTTGAGACTTTGAGAATATTTTCATCGGTTATTCTGCTGTATGAATAGTGTTTTGCATAACCTAAATTAAGTAACTGTTTTACAATCTAAACTGCTAGTCATTTGTGTGTGATGTAATACATGAAGGTATGACATAAGCCAGTAATGTTTAGTTTATGGTTTGCAATGAGATTGTTGGTGTCCCCCTAACTAAACTAACGAAACTCAGGATGTTCATTAATAATATCAGAGCCATCCAAGTATATAGTGAAATAAGAAGTGAACGTGATTTGCGGTGAATGAATACTCAGCGCAAGTACACAGGTGACAGTGTTCGTTCTATCCATCTATCTGTTTCAGGGTGCAGGAGAGGAGTTTGAGAGCTACTACAGAAAGCAGAGAAAGAAGCAGGCTAAGCTGTGCTTGCAACCTGCGACAAATATGGTATTTTGTATGATATTTGTGATCATTAGCCGTAATGAGGTGCTCTATTTTAGAAATCCGTGATCATATAATGTGAATTAATGGTAATTTTAAATTTACTGTGTGCATTGTTAACCATGGTGAAAATGATGACTTCATTATTTTTTTAAACAGTTAATCGATGTCAGTTGATACTTGTCACAGATTATTGACTTGTATTTGTGCAGTGTGTGTAATCAATTCAATCTTTAAATCATTAGGAATGGTTTGCAGTAATAACTTTTGACAGGATAGATTTCATTATAATGGAAATTTACATATATATTATATATATATATATATGTTGCTGTTCTAGCATGAAACTTTAGATGGCTATAAGAAATACTTCCACGAGATCATTGGGTGAGTGATTATGCTTTACTGTTACTCTTATCAAAGTCATGTATTAAAATATAAGAAAAATGTATAATTAAATATCACAAACATCTGTTTAGAAGGAATGCTTATTTTAGAAGACATTTACGAATGTGGCAAGTTTGTTTTGCACAGGTTTTTCGTTGTTGAAGACAACATTCTGCACACGACTACTGGCCTCATCACTAGTGGCTACCTCGATGAACTCTGGGAAATGGCCCTGTCTAAGATTGTAGCAGTCCTTCGAACACATTCGGTATATTTTAATCATTATTGTTCAGCTACCTAATAATACTGTTGCGTGTTTATGCACGTCTAGCTCAGCTCAGAATGTGGCAGTGACAATATGTATATATACATCGTAGCTGATTAGTAATAAATAATTACATTGTTCAAGCAACATGTATAACCTTTCTTGCTCTCCTCTTGGAGTAATCATTCTGATGTTCAGACAGATCATTCAGAATGATTACTCCAAGCTCTCCTCCACTGAAAATAAGACATGGGTTTAATTAAATTTTTATAATTGTTCACTCTACAGTTTATGTGTTCTCGCTATATATCACTTGCTGAACCCCATAAATAGTGTAAAAATTGAGTTGGCTTGCATATCCTTCTTTAACGGGAAGGTTCGCCTTGGTACCCCTCCAACTTGCCATAGTGCATTAAAATTGCTGATTTAAACGGAAAGCAACACTTCCCTTGACCTTAAAATATAAGTAAACCCAAGGCAAAAAGAACATTGTATGCACATGAGTCAGCACTGTGTAATAGTGGGTTTTCACATGCAGGCGTATTGCACTGATCCATCGCTGATGCTAGACATCAAAATCCTGATCATCTTCTTCTGCCACACGCTGGAGGGATATGGATTCCCCGTGACACGATTGTATGGACTGCTTATTGAGATCAGGTAGCGATCTCTCCTGCTATCTGTACAACGAGGGCAACTGCATGAGAGCTTTCTTGACGTGTTTCTGACTGATTATGACCCAAACATAATTCTTGCATGACCTGAGACAAATTTTATTACGTGTGAAAATTTTATTACGTGTGATCTCACTGGCTAATTGTATGCACATGTCCAAACCTTGTGTGCAAATATAAAAAAATGTACATTTACTGATCCGACGTCTGAAACGCATTGAATACTACTGAAATACGTATTCAAAAATACTTGAATTTTTAAAAATATCAATATTTTTCATTTTTGCAAAGAACTCGTTCATTCTGTTTACATGTAATAAAAATTCACTAGTTGGGAAAACATACATGAGTGCAAACATTACTCTAACAGAGACCAGTACAATGAGATTCTGATGAAGAGGTGGAAGAACACATTCATGGATATATTCGAAGATGACAACTACACTCCAATCACGTTGCACTACCAAGCCGAATATACAGCCATTGTGACCATATTCCCATTCAAGGATGAATTTGTAGAAAAGGTAGTGACCATAATTGTTTATTACGTACATATTATTTATGGTAAGTTTGCTAATGAAGAGGCTATTCATTGTAAGTGGACATGCAACAATAGACTTTTTCGAAATAGGATTGATTCTCAGATTAAATCTGGTTGGAAAATCTCATTTTTGTCTTGTTTAATATGTTTAAATTAGTAGTAATTAATACTGTTTGGTGATGAAGCAATGCTTTGTTAATTAATGTGTTAGTGCATCTATTTTACAGCAAAATTTGACTTAATTTTAAATGTGATTTAAATTTTTATTGTTTATATTTGCCCAGTCACCATTTCCAAAAAGGTTCCCATTCTCTGAGTTTGTGCCAAGAGTATACCAACAAGTCAAGGAGTATATATATGCATGCTTGAAGTTCTCCGAAGACCTCAATCTTAGGTTAGTTCATATAGCAATATTTTTATATTGGCTCGTTTTCAATGATAATTTCTCTCTCTCTCTCTCTCTCTCTCTCTCTCTCTCTTTCTCTCTCTTTCTATTTCTCTCTCTCCCTGTCTATGTTTCTGATTGGTCTACATACTAAAGAAATATATTAAATGCTCACTTTATATAAAAACACTAACCAATGGTTTTTACGTTTTATGCTCTCATCTGCTTACAGTCAGGCAGAGATAGACGACATGGTGAGAAAATCAACCAACTTTCTACTGACACGAACACTTAGTGGCTGTTTGTCTTCACTGATACGGAGACCTGGGCTAGGCCTGGCTCAGGTACATTAACTGGGAGTCTCTCTATATCCAACCATCCAATACCATTGGCATGAAAAAAATTACCATAGGAACATTTGCGAAAGCATTTTGTGGTTTTGATTATGTCATACTGAGGGCCGAGCATACCTACCAAATCATCAATGGTTTCTTACTTGAAACTGCTCTTGTAAAATTTTGTTGTACATTTCAAAAGTATATTGAGCAATGTGGGTAGTTTGCATGGACTTCTTTCCCCAATTAACCCCTCAACATGATTCGCACAAGTTGGATGACCTCTAATTTCAAACCCTGTATACGAATTCCGTATAATAACAGACAATATAATAAAAGCCCAAGTATACCGTGATCACCTTCTCGATCTGCGTATCTTAGGTGGCAAGATTTTAAAGCACTCATGATTTAACTAATCATGTTCACATCGTTTATTTACAGTTGATACAGATTGCTATAAACACGGAGTACCTAGAAATAGCGTGCATACATCTAGAAGAATTTATATCATCTATTACTGGGTAAGAACCTAAAACATAATGCTATGATATGCAGTGGAGATGCTCCTATGTGTAAAAGTGAGTGTCGCGAGTATACGATATTATATGAACGTTTGAGTTTAGGCACTAACTTATTACAAGTGTTATTGCATGGTGAATTATTTTTATTGTAAATATGAGTAAATAATATTTTCAGCATATCCAGGGAGGCGACACATGTTGCCAAGCTGCAGGGGAAATCTATGTTCAAAGATGCGAGATCTCATGCAGAGCAGCAAATATACCTGGCACTGAACCACAAGATAGACGAATTCATGGAGCTAGGTAACATGCCACTGTCAACTCGATTTTGAAATATTGTTTCGTATTGTACCACATATCCATGGTGTCCCATGTTGTACAGGGCATTCATGGTTGACAACGTGATGATTATATATATATTATTTTATATATATGATTATATTATATATTATTATTATTATATATATATATATATACATATATAAATGTGGTGATTCAAGAAATTGACTGAGACAAGCTTCCTTGTGCTGGGCGACTCTTAATGTGTCGGGTTTCTAATGGTATAGCTTTCACTATATGAGTAGACATTGTCGGTTTTCCAGTAGGGGTCATGATGTGATGAATAGGAGGACCATGATCTTTTTCATGAACAGTGCGTTTAAGTGGTAAATTCTACACATTATTATTAGCATTCCTTAACAATGCATTATTGGTTATTCTTTTTTTATATTAGCAAGGAAATGTGATTTTTTTTTATGAAATTGATTTTTATTATCTCACACTCGTCACAGTGCTGTACTCTATTTTGCCAATAGCCAACTACGAGTGGACATTGGTTGAGTCGAAAGGGCACGCAAGTGGATATCTCATGGATCTCGTTGCATTTCTCCAAAGCACGTTCATGTCTTTCACAAATTTGCCAGTGAGTAATTTAGCTGTTATTGTCTGTACCCAAAAGTGTATTGCAGGTAGATATCTAGTATGATAATGGTGTTAATGTTCAAAAAGTTCAATGTCACTTTGCATGTATATATTGGGTAACAATATATGCGTTTATGGTCCATGTTCGTCTTAGGAAGGTTGCTGTGTTGGAAGTTGGAAACTTAGCTAAATAGCATGTGTTTTGTGTAGTAAATAAGTGGCGTGCATATATATGAGTAACTCAACTAACTACAAGCATAATAGGAGGACATATATTTGTTGGCCTTGAGTATATTCTCTTTGTGCAAAACCTACACAGGTGGCCAGTTGTTTAAATTTATTTAGTTTATAATGTATTTGTAATTTAATTTAATTAATAAGTAGTTAAATTACTGAATGAACCTTATAACTCGCGAATGTGACATGGATGGTGTAAATCTATGATAACATCTTAAAGGATAAAGTGGCTCAGACGGCCTGCATGTCAGCTTGCAAGCATATAGCTGAGTCGATAACGAACCTGCTTCTGGACCATGACACAAAGATTCTGTCAGCTGGTGCAATTCAGCAAGTCAACCTAGATGTAATACAGTGTGAACGTAAGTAGTTACTGAGAGTTTCCCCTTCATCCACCTTCGTGTGCTAATAATGTGTTGTGAATATCATTTGACTTTTTTACGTTCCCACCATTCTGAAAGGGGCAGTGGTTGTTTAGTGGATATCGAACTTGACTTTGGGCTGAAAGATCTGGAGTTTTGGGTTCTACCATGGCAATTGCTGTTGTGGCACTGAGAAAGACATTTTCCCAGATTTTGCTTCAGCTGGCGTTTGCTGTAGAAATGTTTTGGTGTAAAGTTAGTTAGCATCTCAGTGGCGTGCAGCTAACAACTTCACCAATTTAACTGTAGTAGCTTTGGCAGACAAAGCTTGTAATGTAAATTAAAGAAAGGCAGTTGGGGAGGCCCTATGCTCCACTGCAGCCAAAAGGAAACCAAAAAATGTTCTACAATGTTCTAAAAAAATAACCCTACTTTATATACAGAGACTTGTATTTCTGCGGAGTTTTATTGTAATCTGGGGAGAGTACCACTGCTCATTGTGCAGGGACTTGCATCTCTGCAGAGCATTTATCATACTGTGGAAAGTGTACCCAAGTCCATGTGCGAGGACTTGCATTCCTGCAGATGATTATCTTACTCTGTGAGGAGTACCTGACTCTGTGTAATGAGGGGATGGGGTATAATTGTTGCTGCTTTTCTTGTTCTAACTACAACTCCTTTTTGTAGAGTTTGCTAGTTTGGAGCCAGTGCCTGGGTTTACTGTTGGAGCTCTTCAAATGACATTTTCAGAGCTGCGTCAGGTATGAAAAAGTTTGTAGTTGGCTTTCGGTTGCAGGGGCTAACGCTCCATTAGGAGTGTACCCAACTTTGATATCATTAATGATTAATGATTGATAATCCTAACCCTAACCTAAATG